AAAAAAAAAAAACCCAACAGATAAATGAGCTGCTGCCCGTAAAGAAGTGCGCGCTGATACGAGAAAAGCACATAAACCCTTTTCAATAAGTTTTAATTGAGATTGAAAAACCTCACCAAGCCGCCAATGCCGCTGTAGAATTCGAGTACCCGCCATGACCATCCCTCTGCTTTTGCTGAGCCCTCCATTTCCGTCGAAGCTGTTTGTGTGTGAGGTGGGGTGGATGCGACTTGCGGGGCTCTTAGTATGAAAATTGTCTTATGATGAAGCACTTTTTAGTTTAGTGAGGTTTTTATTTTATGCTTTTTATATTTTAGGTCTGTCTTGTATATTACGTGAACTAGACTTATTCGCGATTCTTTATTCTCTCATATTTTTACATTGATATACTGAGAGCGACATGTTTTAAAATGTACTCGAGATACATTTTTCCACGACTATGTTAGTCGCATGGTCAATGGGAATTCTGATTCATCTGTAGTAGTAGGTCACGAGCTCGTTCAAGTTGACCAACTTGGCCTTTCTAGAGATCCAGTCGATGACTCTACCAGGGAGATCGACTGGGAAGGCCATGAGCAAGCTCTGAAACCATCGAGTTCTCCTAAGAGCACTCATGGCTCTTATAGTTTTGAGTTTTTTCCTCGAGGTATTCATATTAAGATATTCTAGTGTTAGATATTATTGTACATATAGTTACAAATGATGGCTCACTACCTGAGTCTAGGTAGCCAATTGAGAACAGCTTCGATCCACATGTAAACCTGCAAAAACTCAACATCGGGAGAATTCTAACATAGACCCTCTAATGTTTAAGTCAGCAAAAGAAAGAAGATGGTGATGCTCGATAATAAAGAGTTATATGTAATGTGTAGAGAATGTTAAAGTAGAGTTTTGGTGTACCTCAACCTCCTTTTATAGGGAAATATCTGTCTGACTGACTACGGACAGCTTGACCGACTACCCAAACTTGATATTATATGCTTAGTGCTTATCCATATCCTAATCATCTTCTAGTCACCCTTAGATTCCGTTTTATCCTCCTATGATTCATTTTTATCCTCAATAAGTCAATTAGT